TGGCACCTAAATATCAAAGATAAATATCAAAGATAGCTGATTTGGTTCACCCATGATTTTCAAAAGAACATTCGCAGAAGGCTAATTTGATCAGGACTCGAAGAAATGTAGGTCAATTAGTATTTCCATACATAAGAAAAAAAGGAGTAACTCTCTACAGTTACTCTGACTTATCATCAATTCTTTTTTAAAAGTAACTTTCCAAACTCTGGATTTAAAGCAGATTTTTTTAAAGTTACAAGCTAATGTTTATATTATAAATTATTGGCTGAGCACCAAATCTTTAAAGTCTAAAATAAAGGAAACTAAATTGTAATCCCATGGCTCTTTGGACACAAAGTCTAATTAAGTGATATTGAAAATTGCACAAGGGGTGAGCTCTTACTACCGGACTATACTGTATACATACTAATTGGAACATTAGGAAAATGGAATGTGCGTGTCTTTCTGGATTATTTCTGACAGCCCTTATTTTAAATAGATAATTTGCTTCCTTCACAGCCTTTCGATTTAAGAAGGTACTGAACTATTTTATGGTCTTCTCGAAAATATTTTAAATTGATTTGCATCATTGTTAACTGTATACTTATCCTTTCAAACTGCATATTAATGATTTAATTGATTTTAAATGTTTTAGTTAGTTGAGCTTTTGTATGGTTTAACTGTGTTGTATTGTAATATGTAAACTGCCTTGAGTCCCATTCCAGGGGAAAAGCAAGGTATAAATAAAGTCAATAATAATAATTCTTAAGGTAGGTTTCAAACTATTGTGGTAACTCCTGGGCCCCTTCCACACAGCTGAATAAAATCCCAGATTTTCTGCTCTGAACAGGAATATATGTCAATGTGGACTCAGATATCTCAGTTCAAAGCAGATATTGTGGGATCTTCTGCCTTGATATTCTGGAATATAGAGATATAGGGTCGTGTGAAATCCAGGTTATCTGCTTTGAACTGGATTATATGGCAGCGTAGACTCATATAACCCAGTTCAAAGCAGATAAAGTGGATTATCTGATTTGATAATCTCGATTATATGACAGTGTAGAAGGGGCCTTAGCTCAATTGCCATAATGCTGATCTTTCCTGAATATGCACAAGAAGGGAGAGCAACAATGAGCCAGCACTCACACTCAATTTAGGAACATTTCCCTGGACACATTTCCATGTAGGACTTGGAAACAAAGCCAGAAACTGTGCTGACTGAAGGATTCTGGGATTTGCAATAAAAAAGAGGGATTTTCTAAGTTTTAGTCCCATGACCAATGGATAATCAATAGTGAAGTAAATTCTCTAAAGCTAGCAGTTTTGAACAAATTTGCCTTGAGTTCACATTGTAGACAGGAGCTGGGATTGTCCCTGGTCTAACATAAATGAAAACATCCCCTCCATTCATTATTTTACTTAGTCTGAATTCAGCTTTCAGGAATTTATTTTATCCTGCTCTCGCCCTGCCAACTAAGTTACTTTGGAAACTTAGTTATAATTATGCTTATTCTTTTGTAAAGCAGAATGGGTTGGTTCCAGAGTTAAGTATATGTTGGTCTGCTGAGGACTGGGGGCCCTTCTACACAGCCATATAACCCAGAATATCAATGCAGAAAATCCCACAATATTTGCTCTGAACTGCACTGAACTGCCATATATTCCAGTTTAAAGCAGAAAATGTGGAGTTTATTCAGCTGTGTGGAAGGGGCCTGGGTTATGATACTGAACTGATTGGGTTGATGAAAGAAAACTGGGTCATATATAGCCACACCACCATCGTCCACCACGTTTAGCCAAGGTCTTTTGACTCTTAGCAGAGTATTTTCATAGAAACGTGGAAGAGACCACAAGGGCCATCTAGTCCAAACTTCTGCCACTTAGAGGTTGAGTGGAAAATCAAAACCAACTTTCACCAGACCTCTTAAATATGCTTAAATTAGGCTTTAAATCTAGAAATACAATTTAATTGTCATGGCTTCTCCCATAACAAGATGGGATGACAAAAATAGCTTTGTTCAGGAGCCTTGTTCTAAGGTTCTTGCTGTATAAAAGGATGAAAAAACCCATTAAAACTATTCTGTACAGTTGAGCCATTAAAACTGCTTTAAATAGTCTTGCTAGCCTGATATAATGCCAGGAAAAAGCTTGAAATATTTCAGGAAAAAATAAAAAAGATTAATTCAGTTTTTCAAAGTGATCAAAAGTTACTTCTTTGTGTTACTAAGACAGAGGCCTTATATATACAATAAGCCCAGTTCAGCATAATTATTTCCCAATAAGGAGCTACAGAATCATTAGGTTGCATGACATTCTTAAATTGATCAGTACATAATAAAAAATTTCCTTTCTAGCAATTAAGCCAACAGTACACAAAGTCAAATATTGATACAAAGCATATCATCAAAGCTATTCTATGTGCTGCTGGTGGTTATTTCAAGAATAGAGGCAAAAAGAACAATGCACAAGAATGGAAATGGCAAATCCCACATTTCAGTTTGCAACCAAATTAAGAATCCCGTCAAGCCTTATATCTGTTTTACAATGAGATTGCAGAAATCTGGATTGTGCCACTTCAGCTTGCAATGAGGTATCATTTTTTAATTCAGCATGTGTGGGCAGGGGACACTCTTGAAATGTCAACTACCAAAGCAGGCACTAAAGTTCAATGAAGACATCTATATTAATGCTACATTTGTTTGAAACAAGAAACATTTTCCATAGAAGAGCACTCAAAACACAATTTGAACACATCTGTAATCCAAATAGTCTTTATCAACTCAGTCTATGACATCATTTAAAAAAATACGCAGAGTGCCCTTTACAATTCTGATTTCTTAAAATTCTAATCCAGCATTTTCATTATAAACTTTATAAACTGAAACAACACTTGCTTTGTAACTGCCTCTTCATCCATTTACAAAAATCTTAGGGTGCTCTCACAAATTAACCTTTCTCTCTTACGTTGTTTTGGTGGTGGTGAACACTGGAATATAATTAATGTGAAGTACAATGCATAGATTAGAATTTTCTATTCAAACAGCTACTAAATATGCCATTCTGTTTTGTTTTGTGAACAGATGGGAGTTTTTATAAATGCACAACATTAGTTGATGATTGCTATTCATAAAAGAAATGACAGCTGGACTTTTGCCCTAGAGGCTTAGCAATTCCTAAGAGTATGAAAATGTTAGCAATTGAATAAATAATATACAATGGAGTCATGTTATCAAACAGAAACAGAACATTCTAGAAAAATATGCAAATCTTTAAGTAAACATGTTTACTATTTTTTTTAAAAAAAGGATACTGGCCATTAGAATGTATCAGTGGTCACATAATGTAATAGCTTACAATATTGCGTGAGTCCACTGACTGATAAATGCTATCCTAAGCATATATTTGTTGGCAAAGGAGGACTGGGCTACAAATAATTCACTTACTCATATGAAAAGGGTGGCACTATACTTAAAGATACAGAAAATGTGCACTGATTTCAAAATGTAAGGAGACTGCTCAGTCTGGTCATTGATTTTCCTCCCCTATATTAGAATAAATAATATTGGCATCTCCTCAGCCAAATTTCTAGGCACATCCTAAAATGCACAGATTGCTTCCCGTTTACAATGCTTTCTAAACTACTGTGAAAGAAGAATGCTGCAAGTGTACGTATGCTTTTATACATACCATGCTCCACTAAAGTGAACAGGGAAGTCCATATAAGGAGGACAATTCCTCATAAACACCATTGCTCTACATCAGTGGTTCTCGACCTGGGGTCCCTAGATGTTTCTGGCCTACAACTCCCAGAAATGCTAGCCAGTTTACCAGCTGTTACGATTTATGGGAGTTGAAGGCCAAAAACATCTGGGGACCCCAGGTTGAAAACCACTGCTCTACATCTACAGAAAATATCTGTTTAAAGGTGGATTTAGATTGCTATATACATTACTGACAGATACGCAAGACCACATCAACATTACTAATTTAGAAATTAGTCATTCAGACTTTGGTTGTCTTTCAGGAGACAGGTGATTCTGCTTATGAGAAACTAGCCATCCCCTGCCATGCGTTGCTGTGGCCCACATGGGGGTACTCTGTGGGAGGTTTGGCCCAATTCTATCATTGGTGGTGTTCAGAATGCTCTGTGATTGTTAAATGAACTATAAATCTCAGCAACTACAACTCCCAAATGCCAAGATTCTATTTTCCCCAAACTCCACCAGTGTTCACATTTGGGCATATTGAGTATTCTTGTAGAGTTTGGTCCAGATCCATCATTGTTTGAGTCCACAGTGATCTCTGGATGTAGGTGAACGACAACTCCCAAACTCAAGGTCAATGCCCACCAAACCCTTCCAGTATTTTCTGTTAGTCATGGAAAAACTGTGTACCAAGTTTGATTCAATTCATTCGTTTGTGGGGTTAAAAATGTTCTTTGATTGCAGCTGAACTATAAATCCCAGCAACTACAACTCCCAAATGACAAAATCAATTTTTTTAAGTGAAGGACATACATTGGGTTGTTAGGTGTCTTGTGTCCAAATTTGGTGTCAATTCATCTAGTGGTTTTTGAGTTGTTAATCCCACAAACGAACATTACATTTTTATTTATATAGATTGAATTTGGCCTTGTGTTAGAGAATGATTTACACTGAATAACACAAACTAATAGCAAATTAATTTCTAGGTGTCAGAAACAATTTTGGTTAGTAGAAACAGAATAAATTGAAAGCAGCAACATGGATTGTGCTTCATGGAAATCCAGGTGACACCAATCCACTGGAAATTTCAATGAATAACCCCATTGAACAGAGTGTACAAAAATTAAAGATTCAACTGCTTGTGAGTTGTGCATATTGTTGTAATTTGAATGAATTGGGGGGAAAGAACTGTTTTTTATTATTCTCTCAAGTATTACTGCAGTTGTATGTCACCTTCTATATGTGTTACTTTGTTCTAAGAATGAAAGTAGAAAAAGGAAAATAATTTTAAATGTATGAAACAGAACAGTATTGTTATTGAATTCAGGAGTAGTCCGGTCACTTTCGTTCTTTTGGTCGTGCAAAGTTATAGCTGTTGCGCTTTGTCTGTATGTTCTAGTCCACAGGTGGAGCTGGTGGTTCTCGTTCCTGTGGAAAGAAAATGCACCAAATTAGAATAGAGGGAAGAGATATGTACAGAAGAAAAGCAATTTTCACAGTAAGAATCCTCCAGCACTTTTTCCAGTTTGTTTCTGTGGATGAATGGCTTATATTTTTATTTATTTTTTTTGGTTTTATACTATATATTAATGTTTTAAATGCTTTATGATGTTCTTGGGCATCGAATCGTTGTCTCTGTAAAGCGCCCTGAGTCACCTGAGGGCTGAGAAGGGCGGTATACAAATATAGTAAGTAAGTAAATAAATAAATAAATAAATAATAAACTCAAAGTTTGAACTGTGAAACAACTGTGTGTTCTCTACCCATGTGGATGAGAATGAGGCATTCACGCCTGGAAGGGAAAAAGCAATCCTCCTAGCAATCTCTCTGATAGGAAACAATGGGACTTCTAGATTAGCAGAGCCCATTATTCTAAATATCATTAATATCAAGATTTCTATTAGTGTTTAGTTAACAAGGTAGATCTTCCAGACTGCTATTGGCTAGAGTTTCAGTCATCAATTTGGGTCAGATCTGGAGTTATCCAGTATCCCAGTATCAGTGACATTAGCTTTAAAGAACTATTGTCAGTACTCTAGTAGATCTCTTTGTATTTCCTTTCTTTCTCTTAAAATCCTAATTTAAAGCAATCAACCTTTCCCCATAGCACTAGAACAGTGGTTCCCACTTTTTTTTAACCAGGGACCATTTGACTAGGCACCGCTTTGACCAGGAACCACTCTCCAACATTAGTACCAAAAGTCAACTTTAGATTGAGTTTGGTAATTTGGGGTGCTGCTTCAGAAAATTGCATTGGATAGACCACATCTGCTCTAGTTTCTGATACAGAACATATGCCATCCATAGTCGCCATCCGCTCCCTCATAGAAAACCATATTTAATAAGCCTAGGCACTATAAGAGAGTTTCACAAAACCACTCACTCTCGTTGCAACTATATAGTAACAGTGAGGCCGCAGACCATACTTTAGTTATTGCAGACCATGGTTGTCCACACACCACAGGTTGGGAACCACTGCACCAGAAGTATAATATATTTTGAAAATTTGCCTCAAACATTTTAATGAGCATTCAAGTGCTGCTATACAATGGAAAGGGGGGGGGGGTTATTTTGTCTAATTACTATATTGACTTCTGAAACTTGCTTCAAAATGTTTCAAATATGATCATTCCAATTCCATCATGAGTGATATAATATGCAATATTACAATGGATACAAATATAAGAAAGGATGATAATGGACCCGCATAGTACAATCAATAAAAAGCTTTTTGACACACAGTTCAGATAAAGCAATTGAAAACAGCACTCACATTATGTGGGCTGGATGGCTTTTCAGCTGTGAAAGATCTTCTTAGGTTCGCAGGTCTCATCAAGAACAAGACAAATGCCAGAACCAACCAACCCATCATTATCATTGTAATACTTATGTCATTATCAGCTGATGGATTTGGTCCTGGCACTGGAAAGAAAAGACAAATTGAATTAAAAGTGATGCAGAAACTAGATCACGTCTGTCAAATGGCATATGTGAACCAATTACAAGAAGTGGAATGCAACTGCAAACTACGCTGGGAAGGGTAAGGAGGAACTCCTAAATCAGTGGTTCTCAGCCTGTGGGTCCTCAGATGTTTTGGCCTTCAACTCCAAGAAATCCTAACAGTTGGTAAACTGTCTGGGATTTCTGGGACTTGTAGACCAAAACACCTGGGGACCCACAGGTTGAGAACCACTGTCCTAGATGGTCATGTAAGATTAGATCTGTTAGGAGATAGAAGTAATGGTGTATGGCTTCTTCTCCCTCTGGAAATGAGAAAACTATCCTACAAACAAAGACATCCAAATGCACAGCAGAATGAAAGTAAGACTAAAACACTTGAAAGATAAAATGCTTAAATGACAGTGAAGTAAAAAGAAAGTTAAATCTGTTTAACAGACCTTTTTTTAAAAGCGACCAAATGAAAATGCTCGGCCTCTCACTTTGATAAATCACAAAAGGTGGGGTACTGTATAGTTCCCAATAAGAATGCCTTCCTCCATGTCCTTATAATGCATGTTATGTACAGGTAAGATAAGATCCTAGCTGAGGACTTTAGTTAATAGATTCACACGTTGTTCTGCTATTTTGTTTCAGATAGCTGGGGAAAAATTTAATGTTTATCTGCTTTCCAAGACAAAAATAAACACACACACACATAAAAATGGCACACTTTTTGACACGTTAGCTTTGAATATGCAAGAACTTTTTTGAAATGTTGGGTAGTACTCAATTATCCAATCTTCCACTTGACATCGGGAAACAGTTACACAACCTGGTTCTACTTGAACTTAGTTTCACTCTAGAAAGAGTGAAGATACATGGCAGTCTTCCAGCTTTAGAATTGGAGAAGGGTAGAGTATTGCTATTTATTCTCGGAAATTAAACTTTTGGATCCAGGCGTCTCCAAAAGCCAGATCTTAAGATATCTTTGTTGAGTGTGTACCTACTTTCTCATGATTTAGCTCATCAAACCCTAAGAGCAGCCAACCCCATTTCCCTATATATTCAAGATGTACACCTTGATACGCAAAATGTACTGACAAAATATGCAGATATAAATAGTGATGAAAGTGTATATCTTATTTAGTTTGCACAAATTACTTTCTCAGTCTACAGGAAAGAGCCATCCTTATATTCTAATTGCCAACCAGGGTAGGTAAAAATCACGTAGTTTAAAAGTAGAACTGAAATTAATCAAACTGAAGAAAGACAATTTTATTTCAGTTAAAGATGTTTTGGAATAAGCATTGCTGTTCATAACGTTCATCTGACTATTTACACTAGGTAAACAGGTTTTACGTTCTCTTAAAAACCTGCAAAATCAATTTCAACAGAGGTGACAATGGAACAAAGTAAATCCATCTTTAGCAACACAGCAACAGATGCTTCCCACAAGTTACTTGTAACAAAATATCTATTTATAATATGAGTTTTGAATACACTTATTAAGGTCAGTATATTGTAAGCACAGGTCTGCTTAAGGGGCAGCTGCTGTATTGATGCGTTGCCGTAGTAACCAAGTTTGCTGTAGAAATGTATCTAGTTTAGCAGGGAGCAGAAGCCAAAGGGCTAACTGCCAACAGGAGGAGAGCGGACATTTTAAAAAGTTAGCCAGTCTTTGGCTGAAGGAGCCAAAAGAAGGTGGCTTCTAGCTATGTGAGAGCTAGACAAGTAGTTTAAGTCTTCAGTCTTGGATTCAGAGGGTTAAATGAACTAGTGTTGAATTAGTAACTAGCTTGTGAGCTATGGGAAAGGAATTCCCAATAATATTTTGTGTCTTCAGTGGGAGAAGTAAATAAAGGGCAAAACCGTGCCTAACTGTTAGTCAGTGGAACTGAGGGTGAAAGTGTACTTTGGGAGACAAATTTACACTTAGCATATCGCTTGGATGAAGAATATGATAGTGTTGGTGGTGTGTGGATGAGGCTTAAGAGAGATAGGCTTGTATGGGAAGCTTGTCTGGGAGAAGTTTGATTCTTAAATGGCTTTGTCTGAGACGCTTTAAAATGCGTAACCAAATACCATATTCTGAAACCTGTTTCAAAATATCTTCAGCCATCTTCCTTGAAGTAAATTTTCACCTCAGAAACTGGACACAAGTCTTTGTTATAAGAAATTGAACAAGGAAATGTTTATTTAAGGATTCTCAGGCACACAAATCTTAGTTGATTACACAGTAGTTTCTTCTTCTTCTCAGTTTTCCTTAGTATAGTTACAGTTAACTTTTATATCATGAACCTTTGAAACAGTTTCTATATAACTTCCAGGTTGGCTTATTTTCCTGCCAAGCTGACTTTAATAACTTGCTGTATTATTATTATTATTATTATTATTATTATTATTATTATTATTATTATTCTGACACAAAACACAGTATGTCACAGCAAACGAGATCTATATGCTGAATTTTGTATAACAAAATCACTAGTCGAGCGCTTTCCAACCATCTAGGACTGTGTGATGTATTTTCGAATGATGCATGAAGATCCAAGTAAGGTGGCCTTTTGCAGTTGACAGATCATGATTTTGTCAGTGTTTATTGTTTCCAAATGCTGGCTGAGATCTTTTGGCATGGCACTCAGTGTGCCGATGATCACTGGGACCACCAGTACTGGTTCATGCCAGAGCCTTTTGATTTTGAGGTCCTGATAACAGCTGAGTTTTTCCTGTTGTTTTTCCTCAATGCGACTGTCACCTGGTATGGCGACATCAATAATCCAAACTTTTTCTCTTTTCCACAATCGTGATGTGGGGCGTATTGTGTTCCAAAACTTTGTCAGTCTGGTTTTAAAAGTCCCACAGTATTTTTGCGTGTTCATTTTCCACTACCGTTGCAGGTTTATGATCCCACCAATTGCTGGTAGGTGGTACTTGTGACATAAGTTCCAGGGAATCATTTGGGCCACAGAGTAGTAGTAGTAGTTGTTGTTGTTGTTATGGTTGTTGCAGGTTCCACCAAGCTATATAGCCAAGGATCAGCCTAGTTCATCAGTTGTCATGGTAATATGAACACACATAATGAAAGCCTATTTGCACAGATGAAATCACAGAGGAAGTATTTAATCTTACAAATCTCTGCAAGGAGCTCCTCAAGCACAGTGAGGAATTCAGTCTTTAAGAAATTCTTGCCCCAGCTATTTTCTAATTCACTACAGTGGTTAGTCCACTGTAGTGAATTAGAAAATAGCTGGGGCAAGAATTTCTTAAAGACTGGTTAGTCCACTGTAGTGACTTTAAACCAATATGGCACAGATAAGATACTGCTTGCACGCCTTTCCTTCCTGCTGGGCCCTTTGAGTAGGTATAGGCCATGAGGCTTCACCAATCACGATTTAGACTTGACTCCGTTCCACCCCATAGCAGTTCTTGTGGCTTTGTTGGTGTGGTCAAAGCACATTCATAATGAAGGGAGTCCGGCAAGGGAACAGTAGCCGTTCTACTGCTTGGATTGTGAGTCACCTCACAAACACATGAATCACTGAACCAATTCATAACCTTAAGGAAGATGACTATTTGTTAGATGCTGTCTACTTCATTCCCGCTTCCTTTTTAATTGCTTTAAGCTGTTAGTTATTTAATCTCTGCTCCTCCCCAAAAGTCTAGACCACAGACTCTATGGTGTAATTTGGCAATACTCCATCAGACCAATGCTCTCAGCTTTCTCTTCTACTTCTTTTTCTTCTTCCTGGGTCCTTTACTTGCCAGCAAAATGGAATGTTAAGAGTGGAATCGTATTTTGAAAACCTAAAATACAAAATCTACTTATGAAATCAAGAGTGCTGTGATGGTGGTAAAAGCATATAGCATGGTATGTATGGCCAGATATGAATGCAAAACACAGTAACACTAAAATATGTATTAATCAATATGTAAATATACAAGTAATATTAGTTAATGCTACAGTTTATGACTTAATTAAAGAACAAGTATTTTATCTGGTTCTTCATTAAGTCTGCATTAATTAACTTCTTGCCTTAATGGTAACACTAAAAAAACTCTGTTTTTAATGTTTTAAAGTTTTACACTCCTGCTCAGTGACCGTAATAATAAAATCAATTCATTGAACCTGATTTGCATTTTTCTGAAAGCTAAAATAGCAAACTAAGATTTTACCTTGGCATGCGTGATGAAGACATGAGAGCCTGAAACACCTTCTCATGCAAGAAGTAAGTAGAACTAAGTTCAGTATAGCTTTCAAAAAGCTGAAAATTTAGTAAAGCCTAGAAAGTTCCCAAGGGGGATTTGACAACTCCTTTGGATTATTGGGCTTCCTCTTCCTCCTCCTCCTCAACTTTAATTATACTCTGCCTTCCTCCCTGTAGGGACTCAAGGCGGCTAACATAAGTCACTGCTTGGAGTCTCTTTAAGAGACAAAAATAGGCCTTTAAGAGACAAAAAATTCAAGCATTCACATAAATTGTTAGCAAAGCATACTTCTCTATTGCTTATCTTTTAGTATTTTAGTATATTGCTTATCTTTTAGTATTTGCTCGATCTTTACTCCACAGAGATTGAAATGTGGCAATATTTTCAGCTCAAAATCCCCAGTACAAAGCTCAATTCAGTGGTACACAGAAATCAGAAGGAGCAACCGCTCTCAAACGTAACCGTTCTGGGTTTGGATAGGGATTCCACTGTGTATAGGCTTCAGGGATACATTCAATGCAAAAAGTCATATAAACAAAGTAAGTATAGAGTCATGAGGCTATATGTAAGCTGAAGACAATAATGAAGATGAAGCGTCACTCTCAAAACAATCTTCATGGAAAAGATCCCACTCAAGTCCAGTGAAAAATGGAGCACTGCTTCTCAAAATAAGTCTTCAAAGAAAAGTCCCAATGGCATTCTACAGGGGTGCCCGGGTATTTTTGTACCCTGTTTCGGGGAAAGCAATCCCCTTCCTCAGGAGTTGATAAATTCAG